TTATTTCAACAACTATATTTCAATAAAATTATTCTCCTTTGCAATCCTACTTATATTAATTTTCAAAAAAATATTTTCTAAAAAGAGCACCATAAATTTCTCCAGCTATCAGAGTTCACAGCTCTTCCTCCAAAAATATTAAGAACCCTTCATTTTCAGTAATATATGGATTTATTTGTCTCCCTTCGGCACTGGGCCACTTAATCCCTACCGGTGGGATCAAACCTAGCCAGAACCTCAATTCAAACATTCAAAAAGGAAAACCAGAAGTTAAAGAGTTCATCACTTCAAGTCGATCTTCTTACAAGTTCTGTTTTGGCCTTGAATTATGAATTTCCTGTAACCAGATGGCTGCCGGTCCCAGAGTCCCTCTGTGGCTCAGACCTTTCCTTGTACTCCACCACTCGGCCCCTACTCTGAAGAACAGTAAAGGCCTCCTGAAAGTTTAACCCAAGTTTCTTGCTCAATGAATTGGGAGTCTATTATGTTGACATTGTTTTCTTCTGTAGAATTCTCTAACACTGAATGGCTGCCAGGAGACAGTTTGTGAGACATTACACATTGAATTATAAATGACCACAGTCGCCTCCCATGCAAAATCTCAGCCTCCTTTACATTGGGAAGAGTCTTTTGGTCGACCACAATCACAGGAGCAGTGGCCTTAGCAGTCTAGTCCTAGGGTCCCAGAAGAATGATGCTGTGAAGTAAAAGACCTAATGAGAAGTGCAGGACCTGATGAACTCTATGGCTTCTTTCTCACATAATATTTAAGAGATGGATTAATGTAATTCCTTGAGGGCAAGACCAAAAGGAGCTATAACCTGACTTCATGGTTTCTTACAATAATAATATTGCTCTGAATAATCAAAGCTTAGAAAATTACAAAATCAACTACAAACGTGTCAAAGAAGAAAAATAGGGCCAGGGATTTAGCTCAATGGTTCCACTGCCTGCCCCGTAGGCACAAGGACCTGAGTTCGATCCCCGGTACCAAAAAAAAAAAAGAAGACAGATAAATAACTCAGTGACAGATAAACAACTTGGAACTTAACAAAAGGAATTGTCCAACAAAGAAAAGGCCTTGCTTTCCATATATGAAAATTTCGCCGGGGATTTAGCTCAGTGGTTTGGCCACCTGCTGTGCAAGCGCAAGGACCCGAGTTCGATCCCCAGTACCAAAAAAACAAAAAAAAACGAAAATTTTCTTCTGAGGAACCAATTCAGAAAGTCTTATCTAAGAGAAGATTCATATTCTTTCTCAATAGTATTTTACTAAAATCTTCACAGATTACTGAGGAAATATGGGAGCTGGCAAAAGACACGGGAAGAAAATGTAAGCATAATGTTCATGTAAACACATGTTCAAGTCACAAAGAAAACATCTCAGACTTTAAGTGGTATCTGAGATTCTCTCCAGAAACCACATTATTGCCAGGTTAGCTTCATTGAGTTAATGAGAATAAGATGCGGTTTGATTCCATTTAATTCACCTTTTAAAAAATTCGTATTTGGCTTCAAGAGAAATTGCTGCTGAAATCTTTCCTGGAGAGTCAATGCAGATTTCAAGGCTTAGAGCCCTGTAAACAAACAATCCCAGGTCCTACAGAGCTCTGTGGTTTGTTCCAACGGGCACTGTGGAATGAGAATTCCATGAGCATTCTGGATGCTTTGAGTTTGCATGAGGCTTTGCCTGAGCTCCCAATTCTTCAGTAATTGTTTCTACAAAGAAACCATTTCCAAATTCATCTTTAAATAATGTTTCTAAGTCCTAGTGAAATGAAGTTCAGACTCCTCCGAGAAGTACATTTCCTCCACAGATTTCCATCTTCCCCACAAAGGCTACACATATGAAAACCAAATTATTTCCCCCAGAAACTGTCGGAATATGTGGACCCCAGCATCAGCAATCACCATTTCTTTTTAACTTCCTAGGTGGCCTCAATTTACATGTGCAACCAAGTTTGATCCATCAAGACTTTGGAAATTTTTTCAATCACATTGAAACTAGGCCCAACCATAGCTGTTCCTGAGAGACAATAGCCAGATATGATCTTCTCCCCTGGTCACATATTGCCAGAGCCTGAGATGCCCCAAAATCTAGATAACCTGGCTGCCCTAAGCCATGCATTTTAGGTGAAATTTGAGCTGCCTACAGGAGCTGGAGAGGAGGTAGGACTGCTGGGTAGTAAGGCAAAGACACCTGAAGGACTTGGTATTTTTCCTCCACACCCACCCTAAGACAGTGACCATACTCAGCAGTCACACCATAGCATCTTTTTCCCTGTCCAAAGTTACCTTTAGTATTCTTTGAAGCCCAGCTTCACACACACAAACAATTCTTATGTACAGGATAGAAGCAATATATTTACTTCAGTGCTAAGTCTTACCCTGAGACATACACCCTCTTAGTGCCAAGCTAACCAAATGAATTAAAGGAAAGCACTCCAAGGAAGATGAATCTTGTATTTGCTAAGCTTTCAAATCACTTCCATGTTCAAAAGTAATCAAAGCTAACCAAGACTCCCGTCCCTTAATGAGCTGAAAATAACTCTTGAAGTATTTTTTTAAGGACAAAAGATGAAGCACCAATGTGCATAATGTGCTGACTAGTGTCTGAGGCCAACTTTCACAGCCAATTAGAGCACTAGAGGAATGAGGGCCAGGCCCTAATCTCATTTCATTTTGTTTGGAGATCATAAGCTATGTCCTAATTTCCACTCAGTGAAGTCCAGTCTCGCTCTGAAGGCTCTCTCCTGAGTGCCTAAATGAAGGAGCCCACCCCCTCACCAAGGCATGTCACCAAAAAGAATGTCCAACAGATAGATGCCCAACCCCCCAGAACTTACAGTTAAATCACCTGAGGTACCAGCTGATCATCCGCAACAAAGCAGAAATGCCTAGGTAGATAAAATTCTTATATTTTAAAATAATATACAAATGGTAGGATAAAGCTGAGGGTAGGGGGTCATGGTTTGGGAAAGGAAGTGGAGGCAAGGAAAATTGAGGATGCAGCCACAACTATCATTCTGAACATTGTTGTGCTTCTCTTTTCACAGCGGAAAAAGTGCTCTTCTGATGGGACTAATTCCACCAGCAGTGATCGAGATCCTTCCTTTGTCTCTCCCAGGGGACCCCCTTTGTGAGGTATCCTCTCTCATAGCTTAATTTCTCCCTCATAGCTCCTTCTCAGTCACATCTACAGCCTCAAGCTTCTCCTAAATTAAAAAAGAAATACATAGAATGAATAAGGAAAAAAGATGTCTAAATCTGTTGTCTTTCACCCTCCAATACCTGCCCACCTCTTCACCTGCAACTTACTCATCAGCCCACTGATATCTAGCCTCCATCACTGCTGAACTATTACTGCCAAGATAAACAGCAGCCCTATCCAACCCTGTAAAGTCCACAGGAGACTCAGTCTTCATCCTACTTGACCTCTATCTTGACTTACACACATCTGACCACAACCTTCCTGACACCCCTGTCTGCTCCATTCTCTTACACTCCATTTCCCATTTTCCTCCTCCTTCTCTCTCACTCCTCCTGTCTCCTTTGGCTGTTTTTCTCCCCTTGCCCAGCTTTGACATGTTGCTTTCCTGAGAGGACTTTGTTCATTCCTTACTCCATGCCCTCTTGCTAGATGAATCCTCTGACTTAAACATTCACCTCTATGTGAATAACCTTCAAGTCTATATTTACAGAATCGGTATTTCTACCGATTCTCTCTCAGTATGTAACTATGTATTCAACATTTCCCATGGATCTCACAGACACATCAAGCTCAACACATCCAATATAGAATTTGCTCTTTCCCTTAAGCCTGCTCTCTTCTTATGCTTCTTGTCTCGGTGAGTAGCATCACTGTCTCTCTGATCTGTCTAAACTCTATTTGGGAGACACATGGATGCTGCAATGAAAGAAATATATTTCAAGAATTAGAGAAAAATATTTCTCTCTCAGAGTTCTAAACATAGGATTCAAAACGATTTCCATCTTCAGAACTTGGACATCTGTGAGAGTTAGATTGTACCTGCAAGCAGTTGATGGCTGAAAAGATAAAAAAGACAAGGCTTACAATAGCCACAGAAACAATCTAGACCTCCACAGACAGGACATAAACATGGAGCTTTGATTCACAGACACAGACGCATCAGCATGGTCTGATCTCAGAAGTAAATTAGTCATCAAGAGTTAAGATGAGGTTTCCAAGAAATGTGTGCGTGTGTGTGTTTGCATGCATATGGCGTGTGTGTGTGTGTGTGTGTGTGTGCATGTCTGTTTTACTGAGGGCAGTAAAGAGACAGATGTTTCTTATACATATAGTCAACTTATTTACTCTCACTTCCACTGTAGAGCCATCACTACACAATACACATATACACATCTACTACACTCATAGTTTTTATACAATTTACTGAGTTCATCCACTTATGTAACACTTGGGTTACACTATATCTAACCTCACAACTGCTCTGCAAGGTAGGCACTATTTTCTGCACTTTACACGAAATTAACCTGAGCCCCAAAGTCCTAAGTTCCCACAGCAGGTAAGAAAAGGCAGCCAGGATTAGAACCCAGTGTGCGCAATCCTGAAGGTGGCCCTCCTTCCATGGCACCTTCCTCCCCCCTAAGTCATGACTTTGCTAATACTGGTTACGAGAATTGTTGGTGAGAATGTCTCTGCTTTACGATTAAGCCACCCTGAAGAAAAAGTGATTCAATGATTATTTTTGAGATGTCAGAGCTGAAAATGTACAGATTCCACAGGATGAAGAAACCGCCAAGTTGTGATTGCACAACCGAAGCAGTGCAGGGAACCAAGGCAGCCAAATGTGTGTTGGAAAAACCACAGATGTCATCTGGGAATGCTCAGAGGCCTGGGCTTTCAAGCTGAGGCTGTCCTGCTTCCACCGGAACCTCAGCCTTATAAGGCCAGACGGAGGCTATGACTTCCTCAGCTGAATCAACCTGACATGCTGCCTGTTCCCTGAGCTCACTGGGATCCCACTGGCTGAGCAGCAGCTTTGTCATGGAAAGAACGCCACTGTGAGGAGGTCTCCATCCTGAAATGGATCACAAACACCCACCTTGTCATAAAATGCAGTGAGTCTTATAATGGAAAGATGGGGGAGGCCAGACATGGGTCGGGAGCAGAGATAATTAGGTTCCCTAGAGATATTAGTCACAAGTCTTATCCCTTCATCTTCCTTTACACATTTATTTGAGAGAAAAACCCTCTAAAGTGGTGAAAAGTACAGTCTTCCCAACCTGGCATGTGTTCTGAAGTTCACAGGAAGGCTTCGCCTCCTTGCGTCAGGGCCCACAAGCTGCCTGCTAACAGCTGTGTCTTCCTGTGAACAAATCAGACATTAAATGTTCATGGGTAGAAAGAGCTCCAGGGAACAAATCAACCATTTGTTTGACTTGCTTCATTAAACCTATTCCCATCATACCTAAACTCTAAGAAAATAAAAGGAACTTAACAGAAATCAGTTTCGCATGGAGGACCTTGGGGCTCTAAGAACTCATGCTAACCAGCAGTTGAGAAATACTGAAAAGGTATGATCCTGCAAAGATGAGTAGAGAAGGATGCTTTAGAAAATGGAATGATCACACTATGACCAAGTCACTCTCCTTCCAAGTATTGATTGCTCTCTACAGATTATGGAAAATATTATGTCCAAACTGCTCCCATTTTCAGCCACAAGGATAGTCAAGCTATAATAAAACATGTATCCTGAACTTTCCCCTAGAGGTAAATTACTGGTATATGAATGTTAAGGATATGTATTCTGAACTTTCCCCTAGAGATAAATTACTAGTATATGAATGTTAAGGTAGTGAAATTTTTACAAGGATACCAATAGTCTTTTGAAAGAAAAGAGTCTATAAGCCCTTAGTGGAAACTCATCAGAGTAGATTTGGGTGACTCCAACAAAGATCCAAAAACAGGAAGAGATACCAGCTCCTCAAAAAGCAAGAGCCTGGGTAAAAAGATACTGAGCCAGTAGGCAGGCCTGTGTACCACGATGGAACTCAGAGAATGAGGAGTAGCTCTGGTCCCTTGAGGCTGTAACTATTAGGGCTGATACTGACCCAGCCCTACTAGTACAAGCTGTGTCCCGGGAAAGGTGGATAGAGGAGAACCTTAGGTGAGGTAAGCCATTGTTTTTATCCCAGACAGTAGTGTTTTGTTTTGTCGTATATTCCTGGGTGTTATGGCTTGTATCTAGATGTTCCCACAAAGCCTCAAGCACTCAGAGGTAGGGCTTTTCAGAGGTGGCTAGATCTAGGGTGTTGGAATATGGATTAAGGGTGTGATCACTAAATTAGTCCAATTGGTTTATCATAGTTCTCGATGTGGATAGTGGGAAGGCCTACCCTGAGTGTGGGTGGCACCACCTGAAAAAGAGAAAGGGAGGCTTGCTGCTGCTACCTGCTGCTTGCTCCCTCCTACTCGCCCTTGCCATGAACCGTTTCTCCTCTGCCATGCCACTCTGCCTTGGTGCCATCTGACTATGGACTAAAACCTCTACAAATTGTGAGCTGAAATAACCTTTCCTCCTTAACTTTGTATGTCAAGTATTTTGTCTCAGCAATGAAAAAAGTAACTAAGACACTGGGTCAGGAAATAAGAGAGAACCACAGTGGCTGGGGTAGCTGCTGGGAGAAGGAGTGCTACTCCTCCCTCAATTTTCACATCTAATTTGCATTGTCGTGGGTAGGAGGCTTGTGCCAGCTCTCCGGCTTGGCAGCCAGGAACTTCATGGCAAAACAACCAGCTTGAGTGGCTAACTTATGCCTCTCCCAGCTCTCTGGAGTGTGAAAGGCACGAGAATGTGTCTTGCCTGTCTTTCAATGTGTCCCCCTTTTACAGAGAAGGGAATTGACCCAAAATCCCAACTGCTATAGTTTTAAATCCATTGCTGTGATTGCACCAGGACCTCATCTGGACTGTTCCCTGCCCATGATAGGGCTTGAGGATGGGAAGGCATTTCCTCCAGAGCCCATTGGCTGGACCCTACAACACTGACCAGCAGGCCTCGGGCCCTGCACATTCCATTTGGCCCAACTAGGAGCAGAATGACATAGCCCCTCTAGAAAGAAAGAGATCATTTAAGGGTTATTAGCTCTCCACCCAATGCCCTCTCCATGCAAACCTGGTAACAAAAATTTCATTCATCAAGTACTCATTGTGTGCAGAGCATTTTACAACCATTCATTTCATTCATCCACTTAGATATTCAATACATTTATTGAGCAGCTATGTGCCAGGAGTTCCCAAGGAGATAAGGATACAGCAGAGAACAAGAGAAAAGATGTTGTGGAAAAGGAGGCAGTTAAAAAAAAAATAGAAAGAAGTAGAACAATGCGATAAAGAAAACTAAAACGGAGCGAAGTACTAGGAAGTTATGGATGGGAAAAACGGAGTCTATTTTATAGAGTATGCAGAAAAATTCCTTCTGAGAAAATAATAATATCAGAGACCTAAAAGAATCAAAGGAGTTAGCTGGGCAATGAACAAAATTAGTGTCGTTCAATAAACATCACAAACTGGTGAAGCAGGAGGTATCATGCCCTTGTTATAGCTGAACCTAAGGACCAGAGGATCACAGAGGTTAGATGTTCAACTGGGTCTCCAGCCGAAGCCTGTGTTCTTAACCTTCATGGTTTTGCCATAAAGGTGTATTCCAGAATTTTCCCAATTACTTTCTAAAGTCAAAGACTTAAGAAACTCTGGCTCCTTTGTAGCCTGGTCTCCCTGACCCCTTTCGTCGTCTCTCCAATGTATTTGTTGAGGTGCCGAGATGTCACCGAAGAGATGCCAGAGCTGGCTGTGCTGGGGCACGTGCTGCCTCCTGGCCTTCCCACCCACAGCACACACCCACTCCCCAGCCCGCTCACCCACTTGCTCTCAGCCACGCCTGAGGCTTCCTCTGAAGCCTGGGAAGCTGCCCTGCCTCTTCTCACCAGTCAGCTGGCACTGCTTGGGGCCTCAGTTCCTGAGCAGTGTCTGCTGGGGCCAAGCCCTGGGAAAAACCTGCCAGGCCCTGTTTGTTTCAAAGGTATGGGTAGGGAAACATTCAGGCAGAAAAGTGGAGTCTTTCTCCAGCGTAATCATGGAAATTTGCAGTTGTCAGATCAGTGTGAAAATAACAATCTGATCAAAGCTCCTACTGGATCACCACCAACAGGTGCCACAGTTACAAGATGCAAACTGGCCCCAAATAACTCCTCAGTGCTCTTTGTTTGCAAATTTCTTTTCTTAAACAGTCTTTGATGCTTAGTAAACTGTTCTTGAAGCCTCCATCTATTTGGAGTCTACCAGCTCGGAGAGAAATTTGAGGAGGCTATAACATCCTGCCCTGCAAACAGAGTCAGTCCCTTCACTTCCACCCTGTGGGTTTTTGATTGACCAAGTCTTCTGTGACAGTTAACTGATGGTGTCAACTTGAGTAAGAAATGTCCAACTAATTGGATCAGCATAGTTCTGGGTGTGGTTGAAGGGATTTACTGAAGACAGAACACCCATTCCAGGTGTGAGTGGTACCAACCAATAGGCTTCTAGCCTGAATGGAATAAAAGGGAAATGAAGGAAGGCTCACTTCTGTTTCTTTGGAGGAGCTCCAGTCCTCACCTTCAACTTGGACATCATCTCTTGGCTTCCAGCACCGACCCTTCAGCCTCCAGCACAGACCCTTCTGCTGTCCATAGCAGACCCTTCGACCTCCTGACACAGACTTATATAATATACTACAATGAGCTGCAGGCCTCTGACCACTCACTGGATCCTTCAGACAGCCAGCACACCGACAGCCCCTTTGCACTCTTCCACACCTGAGCGTGGGCGGCCATTGCAAGCCTACCGTGTAAATCCTTATATATTTATATATCTTACATTAAATCTATTTCTCCAGTGAGCACTGACTCACACATCTTCGTAGGCATGTACCATGTCCTTGATAGAGGCTTACAGAGTGGTCAGGCACTGATCAGAAATGCTCTTAGCATTTAAAACATGGAATGTATTTAATAAGAGGGCAAAACAATGATTTATCAGGCCAGCAGCAGTAAATTACTTTCAAAATATGCTTTGTGTGTTGAACTCAATTGCATTTTCTCTCCTTTTGGTGGGAAAAAAAATAGATAAACCAGATATGTAGGAATTAACCTATAAACCAAGGACAGGAGTAAAACTCCACATAGAACAATCCAAGTAACTAAGACCTCAAGACACTTTCCTCTTGGTGATCTCCTGCCATCCTCCCTAACCACCACTGTAGCATTTCCCTGTTTCTCCTTACTCTTAAGGACTAGAGTTTCTGACCTTGTCTTAGAAATCCCTGCTCAGTTAAAGTCATAATCTCTCATGGTTAGCAGAGAAAATAAAGGTGGCAGAGTCCCAGTCTCCACTTTCCAGCCCAGGAAATCTCCCTCTGCTATCTGTGACCAGTGGTCATCTATCCCTGTGTAAAACCTTCTATGCTAAACATGCTGAGGCACCATGAGTTATGTTTTTCTTAGGATGAGTCCAATCTCCCTCTCTGAAAGCTTCATTTACTATTCTCCTGACTTTTCTTCTCCTTGCCTTGCTACTCATTTGCACTATGTGAACACACACATTGCTTTCTCACCAAAGACCCAGTGTGCAGTTTGCTGACATGTCAGCTTCTTGTTCCTTGGCACTCTCTCGGTACTAGGTGGTCAATATCTCTCTTATGCAATCCCCATGGCGCAGGACAATATTCTGGATGTGGTCTGAAAGTGTAGAGCACAGTGGGACTATTTTTTCTCATGATCAGAACAACAATACCTGGCCCAAATCAATAGCCCAGAAGGGATTAATAGTTTACTAGCTGAGTCCCAATGCTAACAGATGATGGAATAATGGTAATGAATTCTCTTGGCATTTTTGCAAAGATTTCTCATCATGAAAGCTCTTCCCATGTGCTGACACTAGTTTACAGCTAGCTTATTGTAATTTATGCTTCCATGACAACAATAATGTCTTTTAAAGGGGACGATTAAGAGTTTTTAAAAATCCTATAACAAGATTCTCTAATGAGGAAGTTCACTGCCTTTTTCATCATTTCAACTATGCAGTTATACAAATGTTTGTTCTTTAGGGCTTTCCAAAACATGGCTTTTGTTTATGATCTCCTTTTGCACTTCCAGGTACATTTCTCGGCTGTGCTGAGGATCTGCAAGACACCAGATGTGAAAGTAAAGAAGCAAGATGATGTGGAGGAAGAGGACAGTCACTGACCAAGGAATTAGGCGGCCTGGATTCTAACCTCAGCTCTGTTACTAGCTACCTGTGAGACTTGAGGCTAGCCACTTAACTATTCTCAGCATTTTTTTTTTAATTTGTAAAATGAGAGACCTGGTTTAGATAATCAGCTTGGTATTTGTGACATGTTTCCATTGAAAAAATCCTATTCTTTCTGGGTACAGCAGCAAGATCCCCACTACAGAGCCAGGGCAGTGCTGCCTAGGAGACAGAGATGGGGAGCCCAGGAATCCCCTTAAAACAAATGGTCCTTAGCTCAGAGACCACCCCTATCCCTAACCTTTCTCTCCGGTTCTTGATGAGGCTTACAAATGAAAACAGCACATATTCTCAGTCCAGCCTCACCCTCTCCATCCTCTATGCACTTCGCATATATTGAATTCTTTTCCCTATTCCTCAGGTCCAATATGGTATTCATACCCCTGTAAACACTAAAGCAAGAATGTCATCTCCTTGAACCTCTCTCTTTTGCACAGATGAAGCTATGGCTCAAAGATAACAAAGGATTGTACTGACTATATACATCCAGTAGTTAGAAATGTATTAAAAATAAAGAACAAAATAATCGATAAAAAGATACAGGGACATAGATCTTTTGCAAATGAGAAGAAATGCAAGAAACTGAAAGCAAGGGGAGCTAGGGTTAAGAAGGGAAAGTAAAAAGAGTTAAGATGTGTCATGTATATATACCAAATACCCGTGATGAATATAAACATTATATATCACAAACATGAACTAAAAATAATAACAATAATAATGAAAATGGGGACAGGACATGTGGCTGGGGATTTAGCTCAGTGGTTCTGCCACCTGCCTCAAAAATGGGGAAAGGAGATCTAGAGACAGAGGGAGTGAAATGGGTGGGGAGGGGAAGGGAAAAGAAAAGGCATTAAGACATGTTATATACACTTACCTACTCCCTATAATGAATGTAAACTTCATGTGTTGCGCACATGTACTACTGAAGTAAATTTCTTTTTAAATCTGGATCACATCTTGCCATATTCAGTGCTTTCACTACTACTTTTACATAAAAGTATTCTCAAATAGAATTTGTATACTGAAAACTACAAAACACTGTTGAAAGACATTAAGCAGAAAACTGTCCTATGCTCAAAGACTGGAAGATTTAACAGTGTTAAGATCGTAATAATTCCCAAATCAATGTACAGATTTAATGTAATACTTATCAAAAATTCTACTTTTTAAGATAAATTTACAAGATATTTCTAAAATTTACATAGACACACAAGGGATCCAGAAGAGGTATAACAATCTTATAAAAGGATACAAAGTTGAAACACCCACATATCCCAATTTCAAACTTACTAGAAAGCTACAGTAATCAGTGTGGTATTGGCATAAAAACACATATAAACCAATGAAATAGAATTGAGACATTCACATTATGTTCAATTGGTTTTCAACAAAAAGGTTAAAACAATTCAATGCAAAAATAATCATTTTTAACAAATGGTTCTGGATCACTGGATATCTATATGCAAAAGAATAAATTTGTACTTTTAGTCTAAATGATGCACATGAATTAACTCAAAGTGGATCATACATCTACATGCCAGAGCTACACCTAGAGAATTCTTATGGAAGAAACTAATTTAATATTCACAATCTTAGAGAATTGCCACTTAGAGAAAAAAAAAATTTATAAAAAGAAGTTGGATATGTTAGACTTCATCAAAATTTGAAATTATTATGCTTTAAAGGATATTATCAAGAAAGTAAAAAGACAACCTACAGACTGGAAGAAAAATATTGAAAATAAAAATCTAATAAGGGACTGGTATCCAAAATGCATATAAAACTTTAACAACTTAGTAAGAAAAAAAGCCAATTAGCCCAATAATTTTAATGGATAAATGATTTGAATAGAAATACCCCAGGAAGTTATATGAATAACCAATAAGCACATGAAAAGAATGCTCAATACCACCAATCATTATGAACATACAATTCAAAACTACAAAGAGATACTACTTCACCCCCAATAGAATGGTTATAATTTTTTTTAAAAATAGACAATAGGGATATTCATACATTGCTGATGCAAATCATATACAACACAACTAGTTCAGAAACATTTTGGAAGATCGTCATAATGTTAAACAGACAATTACCATATAACCCAGTAACTCATTCCTAAACATTTACCCAAGAGAAATAAAAACATGCACACTAATAAATTTTATATACAAAATTATTCATGGTAGCATTATTCAAAATAGATCAAAAGCAGAAATAGCCTATATTTCATTCAACTGAAGAATGCATAAACAATATTCACAATATTGTATAAGACTTGCATAATTATGCATAAGAATGCATAAACAATAGTGACAACAGAATATGCATAAACATATTCTGTTGTATGGATATAACAAAGGAATACAGCACTGATACATGCTACAGTGCTACAACACAATCCTCTAAATCTCAGTCCTCAAAATATCCAAACCTTGGAAACACTATTTTCAAAATACATGATCTCTGAAAACATTATTTTCAGTGAAAGAAGACATGAACAAAAATCCACATAGTAAATGCTTCCATAAATATGAAACATCCAGACTAGGCAAATCTACAGAGGCAGAAAGCAGGTTAATGGTTCTTTGGGCCCGAAGAGGAGGATCGGAGGGGTGGGATGGAGAATGACTGGCTACGGGTACATACACAGTTCCTTTTTGGGAGATGGAAATGTTCAAAATTAGATTATGGCAATTGTTACATGATTCTGTGCATATTGTAAAAATCATTGAATTATACATTTTGAACACATAAGCCATATGTTATGTAAACTGTATCTCAATAACACTGACTGGGGAGGGCGGGGGGGCGGAGGGAAGGGAAGGGAAGGAATAAAACCAGGGAAGAGTTCTAGATGCCCCACACCTTGAAAAATATAACTCAATTTTCCAAGTCAGAGAAAACTTGAACACTCAAATGGTATTTTTAATGTAACCTCCAAGTCATTCCTCAAATGAATATATATTATAAAAGTAGGAAATATTCATAGATTAAAAAGTAAGGTAAAATTCAAACAAAATGGGAAGTAAAGGCCAAAAGAAAAATGTAGTGACACATAGCATCAATTCCTGTACCTTACAGTAAAATTTTGCTCCGAGTTACCTGGTGCCAAAAGAAAAGGCAGAACATACATAATATAGTAAGATACAAAGCAATTTTTTTTTATTTTCATGACAATTCTGAAAGGACAATCAGATGAGACATAGTCAATTTCTACAGACGTGTTCTCTGTCCTCCAGTAGCTCACAGAGATAAATACATGAACATGTGAACCATTAACATCAGTGAGGTCATTGCTACAGGGAACTGCGTACAAGCTCCAGTGAGTCCTTAAAGGAAGGAGTTATCGTTCAGACTTTGGAGTGTGGGGGAGGCAGGGGAGGCCTCCCTGAGGTGGTGATGTCTCCCTGAGGTGGTGATGTTTGAGATGGACTGGCAAGGAGAGTGGGAGAATATTCCATGCCTCTGTGGAGACTGAAATTGCCTGGCCCATTTGGTAAACTGCATGTAAACTATTTTGGCTGGAATATTGTGTCTGCAAACTGAGGATGGCTGATGGAGGTGGGAAGGCTGGAACCTGCCCGTGCATGGCTTTATATGCCATGCTAAAAACATTGGACTTTAACCTGCAGGCAGTAGGAGCTGTTAAATGGCAGGCTCTGAGTAGGGAGAGTGTAGGCCCTGAAGTGTAAAGGTAGTTTTCAGAGCCTATCTATAGAATTTAGGCCTTTGGGCAGGGGATGGTGGTACTCACCTGTAGTCCCAGCACTAGGGAAGCTGAGGCAGGAAGATCACCTCGAGTTTGAGATCAGTCTAGGATACATAGTGACTTCAATGCTAGCCTGAACTGCATAGTGAGATCCTGGGAAAGAGAGTGAGAGCAAGAGAGAGAGAGAGAGAGAGAGAGAGAGAGAGAGAGAGAGAGAATATGAATAGAATGTATTCCTTTATATTTAAGTCCAAAGGGCAGTAATTGCAGACATACCTAGCTACCCATAACAGTAATTTATATAGGAAGACATACAAATCATACTGGAAGATATAGTTAATTGGGGATTATAGGATACATGAGCTCCAAATGGTTTCCACTGTAATTATCATAGCTTTCTACTGAGCCCATGACATTCCTAAATGGTTCTACTTGCAGTTCAAAGAGAGTAAGTCAGTGTCAGAGTAGATCTATAGTTATGCAATTGTCAACCCATATAGATTGCAGCTGGGCTCAGTGGAAAGAGCATGTGAATGGAGTCAAAGAAAAAACTTCCAACTCATACATAGACAGAGATAGAGATGTTTAGATAAGATACACACATGTCATGTGCTGTGCTGGTCACTTTACATATCTCATTACAAACTGTCTTCATAGAGACCCAGGAAGGTGGGTACTGTATTAATCCCACTCCACAGATCAAGATTATTTGACTTACAGAAGTTAGTGCTCTCACTGGCTGGATTGGCATGAATGTCTATTTTTAATAGTATGTTTAATCCTTACCATTGAAATCACTAGAATAATACTTCCTGTACTTCTGTCCATAGAGAAGGATTAGGCACTATTCTCCTTAAACAGCAGATGGAATATCTCAGGCCCAAAAGATAGAGTGACTCATTCAACAAGTCAATAACAAACATAGGACAGAAATATGTCCTGATAGTGGTCCAGTATTGTTCCCACTAAAGCCCTTTCCTCACATAAGTAAAGTCATAATTTTTCAGGAAGCCATATTTGCTGTATTCTTTTGCTAGTCTAGTTACCAAAACAGAACTTTTCACTCTTCCTGGTGACCCTATTTGACCTCCACATAACCATACAATAAATGGCCACTTCATCACCATATCACCATCACTAGGCCAAATGTACTTTCACTTAACTTTGCATAGCATAATATTATTACTCCATCAATTAGTCCTGACTGGCACTGTAGTTATCATTATTCATTCTTCAGCTTTCTAGAGTACCTAGATTACGCGCTGTGTACAACAAAGGCAACAGCAGCTTCCAGCCAAGTGTGACTTCGGCTTTTGCCAAGAATGGATCCCCAAGGAGTATAATGACGAAAGCACATATCCATCCTGGAGGATTAACATTCTGTCTGTGGCAGAGAGAGCATCCTCTTAACTTCCAAGAGGATCAAAGACTCACACAGAGAAAACTGAGTGCTCTATCATCCTATCTCTTTCAGGGAACTGCCCTCCAGGAGCTGCCATGCTGACACTCAGAAACCAGCTGGGACTTCACCACTAAGGTCTTTGAAACCTGGCCCCAAAACTTCTCTCCACCCTGCTCCCCTAGAACTTCTCAGTCAGCATGGCACAGCCAGATAAGCAACCAGTTATCAGCCACTGTCTAGGACAGCTCCCCAACATCCATCCATACAAGCTCACTAAATCCATGCTCTGGGAAAGTAGACAGGAAACATAGCCATACCTTATCTCTTGCCAGGACTTAGAAAGGACTTTCCATCTTCCTCCTCTACTCTGGGCCTAGTCCATCAAATTCACCTCAGAGCTGCTCCAGGAGCTCATAAATACAAACTTTACCTTTGACTCATTTCATTAAAGACTGAAGTGAGAGTGCCCCTGCAGCATACTCCCTTGCAAAGGATCCTTGCAAAGGCCTTCTCACTCTGACACCAGCCCAGCTTTCCAACAGTATCTTCAACAGTTTCTCCCCACACTGGATGTGCTCACTGAATACACTGCACATTTTTATATATATGATTTTCCTATTGCTACTTAATTTACCCAGAGTGCATCTCCAGCTCATGCCGTGCACATGACAAACTCTTGATCATTCTCTGAAAGCCAACTGAAATTTAACTCACTCCACTGAGGCTTTCCTCAACTACCCCCAAGTCAAACTCATCAGTCCATCCACTGTGCCTCTATACATTGCACTCACACAGACTTTCCAGCTCAATAGGTATTAGAGCCAAGACTTGACACAAAATCTTCTAACTCCAAAATCTAAAGCTTTTGCTTAGACCGTAGTCTGCTACATCATCCTACCAATGAAATCATGCTTTCACTCTGAATCTTCAGTGGCTGCCCAGCTGTGTGTGCTCAGTAAATGTAGAATGAATGAATAAATAAATGAATGAGTGAATGAATGAATGAATGATAACCTACAGATATTTTCTACAATTCTCTCCCCTCACTCCATTCTCTAAACTAGGAGATCTGAAGAAAATATGACTTCTCCAACTTACAGGGTACAACGTGTCATGCAGTCAGGATACAATACTGTATCATATAATCATGTAGATCCTCCAGTGATGTTCATGATGCCTACTTAGCCAGGGAGAAGGGAAAAGAGCAAAAGAAAGTAGTACATAATGTCCAGAAAGATACTTGGCCCAAAGAAACAGCTCCCTTTCAGCTCCCCAGCTCACCCCTTATTCCTGCCTCTCAGCATTTGAGCCCTCCAGGGGCCAACGGCCAAGTGTGAGCTGAAAGCATCACATGTTTGGAAGATAGAAGCCAAAGTGTCCCTAGTAGTGTAAATACAGAAACAGATAGGACAAGCAGGTCCTGAGGACAGATGCCAAGCCCATGAACATCAAAGAGCTTTGAGTTCTGAATCTACTCTCAGTCAAAGAAAAAAAATAAAAGATAAAAGAAGAAAAAATAAATTTCTTGATTTTGCCTTTTCACAAAGAAACTTTTCAAGAAGAAGAAAGTAAAATCCTCCCAACACACTTAGTGCTGAGCAGAATGTGGAGACAGCAGCCCTGGAAGGAAGAATGAATAAGCAATTCAAATTGGGCCTTCTTGCCTCAGGCTGAGCATCTGAAATTATCTCTTTTGCCAGCCATATTCTGTCTGCCAACCTACCTGCAAAGAAAGGAGCCTTTTAAAACCTCACATCCACCCAGGATGACTGTTGTACAAAAAACACACTCACAGGCCCCTCTCAAAAACTGGTAGGGAAAAGGAAGAAGGAAAAAGCAAAGGAAATATTCTGGCAGCTTCTAGACTTCAGGAATTCCACAAGCAAAGGCATTGCCAACACCCACTTGACAGGGGGTATAAAGCAAGTGCTGACAGAAAATTCAAACTTTCTTGAAGTATCTCATGGTTTTTAAAAACTAGTATAATTTGAACATGGGGATAATCGTGGTCTAGACCTGAGATGCTGGAGATGTGCTATTACAGAGTCATGCCAGATGGGTTCATTCTGCTTTGCTTCCTGGGGTTGTGGTCCTCAATATCTGTTCCTAGGATATTGTGTAAAATTCTTTGGAGTGGTGGTTTGGTATTCACGAAGTTCCTAAGGTGCTCTTTGTCATGAAAGTATCTTATTTCTCCATCAATTTTGAAAGATAGTTTTGCAGGGTACATCAATCTGGGTTGGAGGTTGTTTTCCTTTAGGGCTTGAAACACATCACTTCAAGCTCTTCTTGCCTTAATGGTTTGTGTTGAGAAGTCTGCTGTGATTCTGATGGGCTTTCCTTTGTATGTGATTTGTTTCTTTTCCCTAACTGCTTGTAGAACTTTGTTCTTCTGTTGGGTTTCTGGAATCTTAACAATTATATGCCTAGGTGTAGTTTTTTTTTTTGTTTTTTTTTTTGATCAAGGCTAGCTGGAGTCCTATATGCTCACATCTGTTTGTCAAGTTCTTTTCCCCTGCTTGGGAAGTTTTCTGCCATCACTTCTGTGAATAGTTTTTTTATGTCATCTGCACTCTCTCCTCTTTCTTCATTGACTCCAATCAGTCTTATGTTATTCTTCTTTCCATTGTATAGCAGCTGCTGGATTGATGTGTCATGGTCCCTTACAATTTTAAAAATATTTTTCTTTTCCTGGTCACTAACTGCAATCTTATCTTCTATATCTGAATTTCTGTCCTCACATTGGCTCATTCTGCTGCGTAGACTTTCAGTGGAGTTTTTAATCTCCCGGAAATCTGTTTGCATCTATTTTATGGATTCCATTTGTTTCCTATGTTGGGGTTCAATCATGTTCCTGAGCTCCTCTCTAGATTTATTAACCATGTCTTGCACTGTGAGCACAATCTCTGCTGTTATCTGAGAAATTATTTCTGATTTCATTTTTTCCAGATCCTCTTTTGTTGCCAATTCAGGGAGTCCAGGTGGTTGAGTATCAGAGTGTTCCATCTCATTTCCCTTTGGGATTGCTGTAGGTGATCTGGAAGTCTGTTTTTGAGACTTGTTTACGTGTCTTCTCATTTTGATGGGGGGGGGGGGACTGCTGGCACCCATGCAAGTCACCTCCTCTACGCTGGGAGCAGTGGTACGGCAGCCCAGAAACCTCCTCCTCTGTGCTGGGAGTGGTGGTATGGGGGCCCAGAAGCCTCCTCTGTGCCTATTCTTGCCACTCCTAAGCTTCATTGACAAAAGGAGATGGGGTTCTCTGTGGCTGGTATGGCCTCTGACATGCCCATCAAGCACCAGCACTCAAATCCACTTCCCACCTGGCCACAGGCCTAGAGCCCACCTCCTCTTTTTACTTTCTTAACTGGGAAATATTGTTTACAAATCCCTACATTGACTCATTCTTCAGGACAAATCTTCAATAAGCTCAGCCCAAGACAGACCCAGGGAAGGGAACAATTACTGGCTGAACACTGACCACTTGCTTCCTAGGCTTTCTGTCTTTCCTCTGTCCTACACCCACAACTCCAGAAGAAGGGATTATTATCACCTCTAGTTATATAGGAAGAAGCTCATAATTCATCATGCATCACACGAGCAATGGACAAAAATTTGAGACCAAGCCTCTTGTCTGTTCCAGTTCAACCCTCATGGCCCATTTCAGGTTGCAGCACAATCTGATTCCTCAAGTCCCAGCCTCAGGCTAGTGCTGGGCCTGTCAGGATTCTCATTCAGGACCCAGATGCAA